GTGTGTGTGTGTGTGTGTGTGTGTGTGTGTGTGTGTGTGTGTGTGTGTGTGCGCGCGTGCGTGTGTGTGACTGCGTGTAAGGGGGAGCAGGAGGGTGACGTGGCAGCAGTTGCTGCAGCCAGAACTGCCACAGCGGAATGCAGCAGCCGGGTTTTGAACCAAGCGCATTGTCCACCCTTCCCTCCTGTGCGTCGGATGCATTGCTGACCGCTGCACCCGCGTTCAAGCGCTCGGGCATTTCTCCCCTTCTTGCTGCTCGGGGATGCCACGAATCAACACCCATTCACCGAGGGGCAGCGTGCCAGCGAGCTGCAGCTGTGATGTTGGCCCGCAGCCCCCCCCCCCCACCCCACCTCATTGGCCACGAAGCCCTGGTCGTTGATGCCGCGCTTGCGGTAGCGCGTGCCGGCAAAGTGGCGGGAGCGGCGCGCCACCAGCGTCAGGGTGATGTGGCGCCCGAACAGCGACATCTGGGCGCGGCGGGAGGCGGAGGGGCGGTCCCAGGCGACGGCAGGGAGCCCAGGGTCAAGGTGTGCTCCGGGACATGAGCACTTCACGCTAGCATCACTGCTAGGCATGGGCGACCGCTTGGAAGACCGGGGAACTCACAGCTGATCTCCAGACGCCACGCATGATGCGGCGCACCGATGATCACCGGAATGGCCTGGCGCCGTGCGGCAGCGCAATAGCACAGGCGCATTCGCGCACGCGCGCATTAGCCGCCCGCCCACCTGCCGCTGCTCCCAGAAGCCGTGCACCAGCGGCACCGTCCACCGGGCGCTGCCCGCGGCGGTGCGCAGCGGCCGCGTGAGGTGCGCGTTCCAGGCAAACATGCTGCCCTCAAACACGGCCAGGCCAGGAGGGTCCTCCCCAGCCATACCGTTACCACCAGCGGCACCGCCGCTGCCAGTGCTGCTGCCAGTGCCGCTGCTGCTCCCGCTCTCGCCGCCGCCACCCGCTGCCGTGTCGCGCGTCGGGCAGGCACCAGGCCTCGGCGCGGCCGGCGCGGCGGCGGTGTGGTTGTGCTGCAGCGTGTGCGTGAGGCGGTAGGTGTAGCTGAAGAAGAAGTTGCGGGTGAGGTCCACGCCCAGCAGGAGCTTCCGGTACCTTGGATTGAGTGTTGCAGGAGGGTGTGTGTGTGAGAGGGCATCAAATCAAATGGGCAGTAGGCTTGGGTTCGGAAGGGGGCGTGGGGGTGCCCGGAGATGGGGTCGCAGGCCGACAGCGGCCGGGCCTGCCGGCCGCAAGGCAGCGTCGCACGCATCGTTGGTGCCATGTCGCACACCTGCGCTCCGCCACGCTCTCCGCCGCGCCGTTGTCCAGGCGCTGCATGGACAGCCCCAGGGGCAGCAGCGCGGTATCGGCCACGCGGTAGACCTTGTGGCCTGGGGTGTCGAGGTGATGGTGTGCATGGGTGGAGCGGTGCAGGGGGACGGTGATATCGAGGCAGGTCGGGTTCGTGCCAAGGCTGCGACGAGTGGGATTCCAGGCCCTGCAGCCGCCCCACCCTACGAGTGGCGGCGATTCAGGCAACAGAGGAGACCAAGGGGGCTCGGGGGAGAGGGGGCAGCTCACGCCACCAACCCTCATCAACAGAACGCCACTCCAGGGCGCCCTTGAATAAGATCTTTTCTTGTCCTGCACTCCCCGCCGCCTCCTGAGTTGCCGCTCACGCTCAGCTGCACCCACTTGCCTGCATTTGCCTGCCACACACTCTCTCTTTCTCTCTCTGTTTCTCCCTCTCACCTACCTACATGCACGCGTGCACACCCACACATGCACGCAAACGTGCCACCTGGCCCCCCGCGCGCCCGCCTCACCGCACACATGCCCGACGTACTCGCGACGCGTGATCACCAGCAGGTAGTAGCTCTCGGTGAACCTGAAGCAACCCACAACACCGTGGCTCTGGGAGGGCAGGGGCGGCGGGGGGCGGCGCCCGCGCGGTGAGGTGGTCCGGGCGAGTCTGAGAGTGTCAAGCTGCGGGGGCCGGCGGATGATGTCCGGCGCAGAGGACGGGGGCGCCGCCGCGGCTGACGCCAGCCCAAGGTTCTCCTGCGCGAGGCGGATGGGTGCGGCCCCACCCTGGTCGCCAGCCACCACGCCCAAACCCTCACAGGCCGTTGCTCGTCTCTGCCAAAGAGAAATCCAATTCGCCAACCTTGCACACGAGCTGCAGGCCGCCGCTGCCCTCGTGGATGCGCGCCAGTGTCGCGGCGCACTCGCCCCGCGTGTACACTGCCGGGTCGGCGACAACACCCAGCTGGGGCCTTTGGTGGGGAAGAAGGGGAGCGACAGTGCCCGTCAGCAGGCCGACGGCCATGGGAGGTGCAAACAAGGTGGTTAAATACGAGGTTGAGCGCATCTTGGACACAGCAGTGCGCGGCTGGTGCGGCCGCGGTGCCGAGCAGGAGCAGCCCGCTGCCCGCACGACGCGCAGGCCGGTGGTAGTGGTGGGTGCGGCAGCTGCTGGCACAGCTCTCTGAGGCTCGGCGCCTGACGGCGCGGCCTCAGGACGAGGGCCCCACAGACGTCATGTGCGGGATGCCTTGACGACCACCACCCCGGCCCCGCTGCTCCCTTTGGTCATGCACAAAGCCATGCGCGCACCCATCCTGCCGTTTGAACGCGAGGATGCGGCACGCGTCCCCGTCCTCGTAGGCGACCGCGTACAGTCGCGCCTTGGTGGAATAGATATGCACACGCGAGTAGGGCGACTGCAGCTCCACGAGCGCGCTCGACGCCATGCTCAGGGAGCGACTGGGTGCAGCGGCTCAGGCTGGCGCGCCTGCACCAGGCCGCTGCTGCCGACTTGCGCTGCGGCAAGCCCTCCCGCTCAAAAGCAACCAGATCTCCCTATACTACGCGCCATCATACATTGGAGTCACGCAAGCTCTCTTGGAGTCCCAGCGTGGAGTGGAGAGCACGGACTAGTGCAGGCTGGTACCGTAGTGATCTCTGCACGAGACAATCATCCAAGTATACCGGCACAAACGAAAGTGTTGAACAAACATAGTTGACTTCACATACAGCCTGTCATGGAGTTGGACGAACGCGAATACGCACTACCTAGTCACACTGCAGGCTCCTCCTGAAAAAGATGGACTTCCCCGCTCGTTGTACGCTCTCTCCACACCTCGCACGAACTGCTAACAAAACTCCGTACATGTTGAGCCCCAAGGGGTCGCTTAGACACTGAAACCCCATCGCACGCACCAGCAGATCGAAAACGGTGGCCTCGCCCGGCATGCAGGGGCTTCGCCGCCTGGCCTCCGTGGCCCTGCAGCAGGGCACGCGTAGCTTCGGCTACACCAGCCAGGCCAGCCAGCTCGCCGCTCCCAAGGCACACAGCAGCGGCAAGGCGGACAAGATTGGCCTGCTCATCTCGCTCCCTCTGTGCGCCGCCTTCATCATCTACGATATCGTGTACCCTGAGGACGAGTTTGAGGGCAAGATTCCGTGGTACCCCTACATGCGCATTCGCACGCGCTCCAGCTACCCCTGGGGCAACGATACAGGGCCGTTTGAGAACCACCGTGAGCATGTTGGGCATCGATGGGGCTGGGAGCTGGGACGAGTGGTTGGAGTGGCTGTCGCCTTGGTGGGGGGGGGAGGACGTGTGCTGTTTGCGTGCTGGTGGAAAGATCGTGGTTGCACAACTGACGACTTGGTTTGCTGGTGGCGCGGCCGCGAACTCTTGGCTGATGCCCTTGGGTGTGTTGTGATAATTGTTGTCTCCACTACCGCCATAGGTTACGTCGGTGGCGGGGATGAGCACTAGGCGCCCAGCAATGGCGCCAGCAGCCATCGGACGCTACCTTGCGACAGCGCCACCGCGTGCTTCTGGTTGCGCTGGCAGGCAGCCGCGGCAGTGATTCAGCTTCCGCAGCCAGCACGTGGCCGCAGCTAATAGCTTGGATCCTGATTCATATGGACGTGCAGGCCTTCGCGGAGGTCATCGTGGGTGTTGAGCAAACCGCCCTGCGGGACAGACGCAATCATGGCAGTGGGTCGGTGCGGACTGGAGCTCCCTGCATTGCATGTGGCGTCAGCTGCATCAGTCGCCCGCACCGACAAGACGCAAGCATTCCACTGGACCAGCGCTGCCCTGTCGGTTGCCCGCCTCTCCGGCGTTCCTGGCGGCCAGGGCGGCAGCGATTTGGGTTGCTGCATGGGGGGGCAGAGCTGTTTGCATCCCCTCGTAGCCGTCAAGCTTAACCATTGTTGGCGGGTGTGTGACACCTGCAGGAGCGCTGACTGTCATTGCAATGCAGCATGAACGGCGAGTAATGGCACGAGGCAGTCCATGGTGGCGAATCCAGGTGATGGGCGCGTGATGGTATTAGCGGCTCAGCAGTGGGCAGAAGATATTGATGGTTGCAGAATTGCACATGAAGAAAGAGGCAGCCGGGCTGCTGCGGGTTTTGATCGACTAAAGCGGAGGGTCAAGGGGAGCTGCGAGTGCGGTGTTGTCACCAGCCGCCACTGCTGCAAGCCGCAGTTGCCCACGGTGGTGCATCTCTGTTGCCTAGGTGGACTGCCCTCTGCCATCAGCAGCCTAACAGGTAATATGATGCCACATGGATAAACGTTGCAGCTGTGGGCGCATGACTACAGTTTCTTCGGCGGGGGCGCTACGACGCTGCTCATCATGAGGGGCAGCAGGTGGCGAGAGAAGGCCGCAGTTCATGGACTTGCTTCACACCCGCATTAATCAGGGGCTCACAAACTGATTTTGAGTCGGTGATACTGATTGCTTTGTATGAGCTGGTCGGCGTGAACTCCAAGCGTTGTTCTTCGCGGCCAGCACCTCGCCAATAAAAGTGAGAGACCTGGCAGTGAAGGAAGCGCTTACCGTACTATACACTGCAATCAATAGTCTCGAAACTGTATCGAAGCTCCGAATATCTTGCACAAGCGATCGTGAGCTCAAAACGGGCTTCCATCACTGGCTCCGCGGCTCAAGAAGCGAGGGCAGCGGTCGTCGCAGCACGCACACGGCGCTTGTGCCATATTCTTGTCTCATCCAAGTGCATTGCGGAAGTCGAGTGAAGAGGGGAAGCGGGGGCATCACAAAACACGCCCGACTCTTGGCCACGATCTATGCAGCGACGCTCGTCCGCACGCCTGGCGGAGGCATCACTGCAGATGGTGGACGTCACGGGCGCCGCTGCGTCAGTGGCGGGACCTGCACCGCTGCCGGGCCTCGGCGCGTCGCTCCTCAACATGCCGCTTCAGGAGCAGCTCAAGCTGATGCAGCAGGGCGGCGCGCTGCCTGTCGCCGCGCCGCTGGTCCTCAATGGCGCAGCGGGCGGTGTCGCGGGCGGCTCTCCGCCCAGCCCGTCGGGCGCCGCAGGGCGCAAGAAGCCGCAGCGCGGCAGCGTAGCACGGCCCAGCGCGCGCGAGCCCACCAAGGGCACCACCAGCTCCTCCAACCGCCCCCTGAGCTCTAAGTTCCGCGGCGTCTGCTGGAACCGCAAGAACAAGCGCTGGCAGGCGGCCATCAACAGTGGCGGTGAGCAGCCGTGATGGCGGCGGCGGCGGCGGCGGCAGCGGCGGGGCCTCGTACACGCACGCGCTTACGCGCGCGCCGCAGCTCCCGTCTGCTGATGCACGCATGCGCGTGCCGGGGGGTGGCTCAGAACGAGGTCTGATCCCCCCCAATGGCATGCCGCCATCAACGCCCAATGTGTGCATCTTCCCCCTGTGCTCTCACGGGCGGATTGGAGCCCTCTGCTGCATCCCTGCCTGCGCCTGTGCGCGCTGCGGCGACCCGCATCCTCATGACAGCGCGCCGCACCCCTGCGCACTTCGCACCACGGCCCAGGCAAGTATCTGTACCTTGGCTCATACATTGAGGAGGACGAGGCCGCCATGGCCTTTGACCGCGCCGCCATCAAGCTGCGCGGCCGCAAGGGCAAGCTCAACTTCACATACGAAGGTGCGCAGCGCCGGCCGCATCACTTCGCCTGTCCCGCCGCCTTGTCAAAGGGCGCCTGCCGCAGCCCGCAAAACGCACACTGGCGCCGCTCTTGGCGCAGCAGGCGTGCGTGGCGCTGCACCGCAAGGCGCCGCGCTGTGCTGCAGGCCAAGTGCTGCTCGTCCCCTGGCCTTGTCGCGCGTCGGCGTCCCGTCCCCGCTGACAGCCTGCCTTGTGGCGGCGTCCCGCGCCCCCTCTCCCTCCTCTGCACCGCGCAGACTATGTTGACAGCCAGGGCAACCTGAAGGAGGATATACACCTGCCAGACAGCGCCAAGGACGGCGCCCCCAAAGACGGCGGCGCGTCCAAGGCCGGCGCCGCCGCCAAGCGCGGCAAGGGCGGCAGGGGCGGTGCCGGCGGCGGCGCTGACGCGGGCGGCGTGGGCGGGGCCGGCGTCGGCGTCGGCGTCGGGGTGCCCGTGACCAGCGCGCCGCTGTCGGGCGGCGGCATCTTCTCGTCGGGCCTGAGCAGCCTGTCCATGGAGGATGTGAAGCGGCTGCTATCTGGCAACAGCGGCGCCGCGCCGCCGCCGCTGATGGGCGCCGGCGCCCCCGACCGCGGCGTTACCACTGGCTTTGTCGGCGCGCTGCCATCCGCGAGCGCCGCGCTGGCCGCGGGGCCGTTCGGGCTGGCCGCCGCCGCTGGCGGCGGCGCGGGCGCGGCCGGCACGTCCGCCTTTGCGGCGGCGGCGGGCGGG